TAATCCCTTTACTAACAAGTTATTTTGGTTTGAAAACATATTGGAACATAGTGTGCATAGCAAGCACTCAAATGTATAAGACAACAATTTTGCGTCTAGACAAACATACAAATTGAGCTTATTTTTCATTTACTTGTTCATCCTTTATAAAAATATTGGGAGGGAAGAGGGGGGGTCACATTGAAAGGTATTCTTTATCTATTTAAGGGTCTTAAATAATAGTATAAATGCAAATGTATATATTTTTTGTAATATACTGTAGGTTAAATAATGGTTAAATGTCCTGCTTATGGTGTTCATAATGAGACCAAAGGCATTACTAGCTTGCCACAAAATGGCAACACAATGTAACATTCCTGGCCAATAAAAATAAAACAATCTAAATAGTGTACAATTGATTGCAAACCTGTTTTGAATTTAACAACCCATTCCAAAAAAAAGATGCAAACAATTCAAAATAAAATCAAGATAAGGAGCAACCCATTGGTAAACATTTGTCAAAGAAAAGTTGACCATTTAATTGAAAACTTAGGAAATTAAAACATTCAGGATGCATTGGTAATAGCCTAAGTGCTGACTTGCAGATAATGGCCATAAAGTAAGTGCAGTTAAATAATATATTACTAAAAATAAAGGTATTTCAACATCTTTTAAAGCAATCTTGGTAATGGAAATGTAATGCTTAGTGGCATAATAGGCATATTAGAGAACATATTGTGATGGTAGTCACCATCGATGGGACCATATAAACGTTGCGCTGTACTTCAGATGATCATATTTTTAAATAAACAAAACCAAATACCATATCAATAAACCACACAAATACCATATGATAAATAATAACCGACACCATTTAACATTGGATGGAAAGGCCGGAACTTTATTGAGGGTAATTAGAGGCATTACAAAACACTTTAAAATTAATTCCATAACCATTTCACCAAAATTAAACTTAACAATCAACCCTTGAACCAGCCAGATTGCTTAAGCCTTAAGCCTCAATCCACCTCGTATTTGAGGCGACCTTACCCCAAGCCGCAATGGCAGCAAACCTCTGCCATTTGCGGAACCTTCCACAATTCTACGGCCTTCTCTATTCCTTCTTGTAAACCATTATTAAAAATGTTAATCCCAATCTCAGATAGGTGAACTCCATCCTTAAAATAAGGCCCTTTACCACCATTTTCCAAATCCACATGCCTCAAACTTATACCTTCTAAAAACAGCACGAACTTATGAATGGCTCTTTTAACTTTACGCCTAACTCTTTCCAAAGCCTTCAACCCCCAATGCTTGCTCCATATTAGTCGCGGCGCAATTACAGAAAATATTAAAATCGTATTGGGGAATCTTAACTTCACTCAATAGATTTTTAATGCAAAATATAAGCTGCAAAGATCTAATATTCCCAATGTAATTTTCTCCAATGTGCATAATAATACATTTTGGATCTGGGAAGTTACTCGCACAAACTTTGTCCAAAACATCTCATTTATTCTTAAACCCCTTACTCCTTTCCAAAAAATCATAAACTTGTCCTCATTCAACGCCGAATTTATGCTATATGATCTCTCAGCTGCTCTTCTCTGTGCCCAAAAGATAAATGAGTGCCCAACTATCCAAATAGCCACTGGTGAGGAAACTAGAATAAAGAAAAGAAAATGTCACCATCAAACATATCATTATATGACATTAAATCCGGGAGTACATAAAGCTTGTAACAATCCTTCACACTCTCTTTGTATCCTCTTGCCTAAGATCTTGAACGCTGGCCTCAGTGGCTGTGCCTATACGGAATGAATGACTAGAACGTTTCCTCTCCTAAACCTAAAAGCTTCAGGCATTTCCTTAAAACAACTCTAAATTGGAAATATGTCAAAGGAGAGCGGTCATTGTGAATTAATAAAGGACCTGGTTCAGGCGGCCTGGTGTCCAAAAAATTATTCCACACCTTTTACTGGGCAAAATTCCGGTTCGTTGGTATAAATTATAATATTTTGACCTTTACTTTCCCTGTCTGTTTTGGATACATTTATAAAAAGAGTAAAACTTTCTTCTCTGACCATCACATCTTCAATAAATAAACCTGATAACTGAAATTTAGAGGCTGAAACAAGTTTGCTTAGCCTAAAGGCTGCAAAGAAAGCCAATAAAAACGACACTTTGAATAAACAAACTTCAAATTCATTAAAACAGATTAACCTTAATGACCTAATTAAGTTTTTAAGCAAACTGAACAAAGTAGGCTTTCTTTTATCGTTAACTCTTACCCTTCTTGTGTAACCCTTTCTTAACTGCTGAATTAAAAAACTCCTAACAATTTGCACCCCCCCCAGCAACCTTAAAAAGAACGTAATCTCACATGACATTCTTTGTAATGAAGATTTGGGTGTATTAGCTTTAAACATTGTAATAAAAAATTAAACTGTGAGATCAAAACTCGCATTAAAGGGGACAGACTGCCTTACAGCAAAAAAAAAAAAGCATTTAATTGAAAACTTAGGGAATTAAAACATTCAGGATGCATTGGTAATAGCCTAAATGCTGACTCAATGTCAACTTTAGCCATTAAAGCATTTTTGCCACAGACCAAGGCCCATTCAACAGCGTCGTCGAATGACGCATAACAAACCGGAAACTGCTCTATATCTATCTCGTCATTAAGTGAATCCCCTTTTGGGAAAGACAAATGGTGTATAAGCCTAAATTCACCACTCTCCTTCTTAGGAACTAAACCCAAAGGTTAAATGTGAAAACAATCAAATGGAGCTTCATTAAACAGGCCTGCAACTCTACCTAAAACTATTTCTTTAACTATCTTTTTAAATGCCAACTCCTTATTAATTTCCAATGACTTTTAATTATTAACCCAACTAAATTTCTTCTTATGCATTAAAAGAGTTGTTGGCTTAGTGACCAGTAGATAGCTAGAAAAAAAGAAAAGGTAAAAAGGGCCGCAACCTAAAGGTATGATGTTCCCTCACAAACCATCAAAGAAGTACACAATGTAAAAACGGATAAGATAGGTCGCGCCACACAAATAATATGTATGTTAAAACCAATGGTTACTTACATAAAATGCTAAAAAGGGAACAGAGTCCTGAATAAAATAAGTAAAATAATAAAATAATATAGTCCAAGTTAATTGAAGAAATAAATGAATCCAGTGGATCTATAAGTCCTAAAATAATCCAATGTCCAAATGGCGTAGAAGCATAAAAACAGAAAAAGAAATTCCAATAGTGTAAAACAGTTGATACCAGGCGGAATATGATAGTAGTAGTACTTCTCTTACTCAACTAGTCGAGAGCTGGAGCCAGCTTAAGTGTACACCACATTCAGTGGCGTTGATCCCCCACTGGTAGGATATAGGTGTTGGTCAGCAGATAAAGATCCTCAATATGTCGAAAGAAAATATAAACACCAATAGTGCTCTCTGTATATAATAGCAGGAGGTTGGTAATTTGAAAGGTATTATACTCACATGCCGGTGAGCAGGATATACTGCTCACTTTAAAAGCGTGGGTGGTATAATCCCCACCTAGGATTCTTGAGTGAGTGAAAATTACAGAGTTATAGTATGACCAGGTTATAAAATAATAAAAAGTAATATAAAAAAAGGTATATGGCATAGGCAAAATATTTTGGGCCAATATTCCTTTAATGATGTGAATTAAAGAAAATAAGAACAGTAAAAACAGCGAAAACACGACTAGATGTACTGTGGTCGTTGCTGCCGCCCAGGAGTTATGGGAGTGAGCGCAGGACTTATCTTTTTGTATTTGTATTCACTTTTTGTATCACATAGCTTTGTTACAATCCCATGTGTTCCCTATTAAAGGTTAATAAGTATATACGGTGTATGTAAAAAATACCCCTCTCTGTCTCATTAGAGATATCTTTGCCAGAAGCTCAAGGAAGCAAGGTGAAAGGCAGAACGCGCCTAAAGGGTTCTGCCTTGATGTTGGCAGGTGGACATTCTCTCCAATTCTCCATTGGAGTAACTAAATGACCTCCATTTGTTTAAATATACATAGGGATTTGTGTAGCCATTTGCATTGTGAGTCGTTAAAAGCTTAACAGACACCTTTTTTTCTGGCCAGTCGCTGTTAAAACCTCTGCAGACCTAGTAGGAAAAAAAACAACATCTTTAACACACCATTTTACAATTTGCTTTTGAATTGAAATTTTTTGTCCAAATATGTTGTCATAATTATACCAAGCTATACCCCCGAATTTTTTTTTTTTTTTTTTTACAATCTTTATTTATCAGTTGTTTTCAAGTACAGTTGGGGGTTACAGAAGAGAATAAAGGGAGATAAGTCAAACAGTTGTTGTGGGTATACATTAGCAATAGCGAACCTTCACAATCATTTGGTATTGAATGAACTTGCATGTAGGCTTTAAGTGGTAGTCTGGGACTGAGGAAAAAGGATAGCTATCATTGCATTTTTTTTCCAGTGTTGTATAGGTGTAGGTCTTTCAGGCCTGGTATTACATCTCACCTATGCATTTGTGGCTCCGTGGAGCCCGATGATAGGGGTGGGCATGTCGGGTGTAGGACCCCACCTGTGTCGGGTAATCAGCAGGCTGTGATTGAGGGTGGGTCCAACCGCAACAGCGTGCCCCGTGTGGCTCCGGACTTGTATCCAAATTTTCTATAGGCTTCCAGCACCAACTCCAAATGCTGAAATAGTCCCATACTTAAACTTGGATTATCTCCGCATAGAATACTTGCATATATGCAAAAAGCCTGTAATCAATTATTAAATGATCATGGTATAGGCCTACGCTTATCCTCTTCGTTATCTGTTCCTTGTTTAGCTATGAATTCCTTAGAAGCTGGAAGCAGTGACAACATGTCAACCTTAATAATTTTTTATCTGATATTACTACTTAAATGTAAACCCAGTGGAGAAATCTCACAGATCGTAGCTTCTTTTAGACAATCTTCATTCACCCTGTATGCTGTATCCTCTTCTTCCTCGACACTCCTTGACTCCTCCTGGTCACTTGTAGCTTCCTCTATCTCTGGCCGGAGCCCCATGCTGCTCGGGCCAGTCTCCATCCTGCTTATACTGTTCTCTATGGCTTCCTGACAAAACCCAGCCTCCAGCTCCTCCTCTTCTATTTCATCAAAGACTGCTAAAGAGGGGGCGAATGCCAGGCAACTCCTCAGCCACTCCTCACCGCCTGAACATTTAGCTTCCTCCTCCAGTTGCTGCATGAGCTCCTCCACTGTGCAGAAAAAGCGGCTGAATAGGCGAATCTTGACTGCTGAAGCTCAAAACATCTTCCTCTTGTTCTGTAAGTCCCTCAGAACGTGAAGCCTGCGCAATTCAAACTTGGTATATAAAACTAGTCCTAACCAGCACTCGACACTTGCTTCAACCCTGACCAATCAGGACCTGCCATTTTCCCGCGCAACCTAAACCACCAAAAAGCTAGCAGCCAATGAGAATATCCTAATTTTAAATGGTTATAAACCAGATTTAGCCAGTTTACCATCCTAGCTAAACTAACCCTTGACCTTCAGCTGACCCAAAACCTATTGCCCTTTGCTCCCTGCAGGATATCTCCAGAGCTGGCAATAAGTATGTTTGACACCTCTTGTGATTTACCAGATGTCTCTTATGTTTAAGTCACCCTGTGCCCACTGTGGGTGCAGGGTGTATATTACTTGTGAAAAGTTTTGTGTGCTCTTCTGCCTTGCTGATGCTCTCTACCAACTAGGTGGATTTGGAGCCAGTAGAGTGCCATATGTTGGTAGCAACTGTTATGTGCACTACCTGAATAGCAAGACTCAGTAATTTGTATATTCAGGTAGATTTGCATATTATCGTTTCTACTGGCAGGGTAGATGTGTATTGTTATTTTCTTTCCCTTTATTAACCTCTTCAGGACGGGTAACGGATGAGGCCCGTCATCCAGGGGAGACCCTTAATGCCGGGTCACGGACCTTGTCCGTCACGCGTTACAATTAACCCCAGATCGCCGCGATCGCGGGGTTAACGGTGCTTGGTCTGCCTCTGTATTAGAGGCAGACCGGGAGCACCCGATCGTGCTGCCCCTGCAGCAGTGCTCGCTCTGACAGGCTGTCAGAGCGAGCACATGTGCTGCATGTACTTACCGCCTCCCTGCACTTCCGGGTTCTGTGTGAAGTGCAGGGAGACGGATCAATGATAATCTTGTTTCCCACCCCCGTTTACCCCTTTTAATAAAAAATTATCCCCTTCCCTGCCAATTGATTTTTTTTTTAAACCCTATGAGGGTCAACTTTTATTTTTTGTAACCCTCAGGGGTTAATTTTTTTCATTAATTAATTTAAATATATTAAAATAATACATTTAGCTAGCTGGGGTGGGTGGAAGTTAGTGGGGATTTGGGGAATTTGGTGTTAGGCTAGCTAGAGGTTAACGTTAAAAAAAGTTTTAAAAAAGTTTAAAAAGTTTAAAAAAATGTTTTAATAACATTTTTTTAAAAAGCAAAAAAAAATCCCACCCTCCTTTACCCAGTCCTAATAAAAATTAACCCCTTCCCTGCAAGTTGATCACTACCTACAGTTTTTTAACCCTCAGGGTTTCAATTTATTTAATTAATTAATTTAAATATTTTATAAATTCTTTATTTTGTTTATTTTTCATTTTTGGACTTTATGGTGAAGGGGTTACAGAAAGAAGAGATTGGGATGGAACATTGGTTTTACATATAACATTTTGTAACAGTATTAACAAGTCAGGTATTGGCTTATTCGTTGCGCTGTTGTGCCTAGTTTACATCAATTTTCCTGAATGATGCTCGGCATATGTTTGTAGTACGTCTTTCAGGAGGAGCTTGGGGTGTCAGGGGAGGTGGAAACGGGAAGCAGAGGGGGGGGGTATCAAGTGGGTGTAGAGATTCATTTGTTATGTGTGATGACCTTTCATCGTGTGGGATTTTATGCCGGGTCGTGGGCACTCCATGTGTCTGTTCCTTCGGGGTTTGCTGGTGTGTTATTGATGTCATATGTTGCCTTTTATGGGGTCTTCGTGCGGGTCCTTGGTTGGGTTGGTACGTAAGTGAGAGCATTTTGGTTAAGGCATTGTTGGGTTGTTCATGTTCCTTGTGTTGTGGGTAGTGGTCTGCCAGTTTTGTCTCCGTTGTGGGTGGGAGACGTTGTTTGTGTCTCGTTTGTTATACAACTGTTTTGCGGGTTCTGCGGTAGGTGTGCCCAGGTCCCTGTGTGGTGTAGTGGTCTAGATTGTGTCGGCTCAGGTTGGGTCGAGGGAGCGTGTTGTTTGAGTTCCTTGTGTATCTCTTTGTGATTGGTGCCTTTGGTCGTTAGTTGTAGAGTTGGTGTGTTCTGTGGGGGTCGCCGTTTCCAGTACGGCGGGAAGATGTGTGTGTGTGTTGGAGTGTTTATGAAATAGGGTATAAGTTTCAGTCCGGTGGGGCAGGAGGTAGTTATTGAGGTGGCCTGGTTAGGTATTGTAGGAGAGGGTAGATACAGGAGGGGGGAGGATTTTCTCCAAAGGTACGCCCTCCCGCCTAGTCTGTTCTGCGGAGGGGGTTGTTTGGTAGGGTTGGGAATTCGAAGATCCAGGGTTTCCATATTTTGTCAAAGTGCTTGATGGTGTCGTGAACAAGGGCGGAAAGTTTATCCATTGTCATTGCATCATTGGTTTTGCGTTTTATGAGAGTTATGGGTGGGATATCTCGACTTCCCATTGCTCTGCAATTGCTCGCCTGGTGGCTAGCGCTAGTTTGACTGTCAGCTTGTTTTGTGCCCTTGGGGTGTCTCTGAGGGGTCTAGAGAGGAGCCATAGCCATGGGTCCATCGGAATGGTGGTGTGTAGTGCTTGTGATGCTAGTTGCGCTATCTGTTGCCAGATTATGACTACCTGTGGGTATTCCCACCACATGTTGATGAATGTTCCCCTATTCCCACACCCCTTCCAGCAGAGATTGTTGTCTGTTTGTTTCATTTGTTTTAGGCGTAGGGGGTAAGGTCCCATATGAGGAGTGTCTTATATGCTTGCTCTTTGTGGTTGACACAAATCGAGATAATTGCTGTGGCTTCCCAAATAGCTGCCCAGTCGTCTTTATCTCCTATGGGGCCCAGGTCCCTTTCCCAGACTGCCATATGAAGCTGCGTATTTATATGTATCGAAAAAAAGTCTCGGGTTGTGAGGGGGTTCTTTTGGGGAAGTTCCGTGAATGGTATGATTTGTTGGTTCTTATAAAATTGGTGAATGCGGGTCAGATAATTTAAATATTTTAAAATGATATATTTTGCTAGCTGGGGTGGGTGGGAGTTATGGGAAATTGGGGAATTTACCTTTAGTGCTGCTTACTGCTAGTTAGGGGTTAACGGTAAAAAAAAAGCTTATAAAAATGTTAAATCTGTAAAAAAAAGTTTTAAGAAAGTTTAAAAAAAATGAATAAGCAAAAAAAGTTAAAAAATAGTTTTAAAAAGTTAAAAAGTTTTAAAAAGTTAAAAAATACATTTAAAAATGCTCATTACCACTACACCTGGAACAAACTAGAGAAAAAATGATCCCACGCTAAGGTTCAAAATACGCCTTTTGAATTACCCCAGGGTGTATCCTTTAATAAATAGTATGTGTTTGTGGGGAAGTTTCAATAACCAACCATCTAAGCTACTCCAAAATGGAACATGGACACAGCGTAAACCTTCAAAGTTAGAAAAAAACTGAATAGCTGCGTCTCAAATGTGCCCCTTCAACATCCACACATACCTGGCAAAGGTACATACGGGGGTATTGCTGTACTCAAACGACATAGCTGAGCAACATATGTAGTATTATACAGTCGTAGCACACATAAGGTTTGCAAAATATACTGTGCAAACTCACTTTGTGTGTCAAAAAGACAGAAGAAATGCTTATTACCGCTACACTTGGTACAAGCTGGCGGAAAAATGATCCCACGCTAAGGTTCAAAATATGCCTTTTGAAATACCCTGGGATATCTTCTTTAAGAAATGGTATGGCTTTATGGGGTATTTCGATTATATAGCCTGGTAAATTACTCTAAAATGGGGCATGGGCACAGCATAAAAATTAAAAGTTTGAAAAAAACTAGAATGGCTCTGTCTCAAATGTGCCCCTTCCATGTCTACATATACCTGGCAAAGGTACATATGGGGGTATCGCTGTACTCAGACGACATAGCTGAGCAACATATGTAGTATTATACAGTCGTAGCACACATAAGGTTTGCAAAATATACTGTGCAAACTCACTTTGTGTGTCAAAAAGGCAGAAGAAATGCTTATTACCGCTACACTTGGTACAAGCTGGCGGAAAAATAATCCCACGCTAAGGTTCAAAATATGCCTTTTGAAATACCCTAGGATGTCTTCTTTAAGAAATGGTATGGCTTTATGGGGTATTTCGATTATATAGCTTGGTAAAATACTCTAAAATGGGTCATGGGCACAGCGTAAAAATTTAAAGTTTGAAAAAAACTGGAATGGCTGTGTCTCAAATGTGCCCCTTCCATGTCCACATATGACTGGCAAAGGTACATATGGGGGTATCACTGTACTCAGACGACATAGCTGAGAAACATATGAAATATTATACAGTCGTAGTACACATACGATTTGCAACATATACTGTGCAAACTCACTTTGTGTGTCAAAAAGGCACTACACTTGGTACACTTGGTACAAGCTGGCGGAAAAATGATTGCATGCTAAGTTTCAAAATATGCCTTTTGCAATACCCTGTGATGTGTTCTTTAAGAAATGGTATGCCTTTATGTTGCAGTTGTAATTTGTAGCCTGCTCAAGTGCTTCAAAGTGGGACACGGACGCATCAAAACTCTCTATGAAAATTCACACTTAAAAACCTGAACTTGTCACGTCTCTTTTACAGCTCTGTAACTTCACAAAATAGTGCCTAGGTCATACATTGGGCATATTGTTTTACTCAGAAGACTTAGCTAAGCATAATTGTGGGGGTTTGGGTGGGAGTTATGGGAAATTGGGGAATTTACCTTTAGTGCTGCTTACTGCTAGTTAGGGGTTAACGGTAAAAAAATAGCTTATAAAAATGTTAAATCTGTAAAAAAAAGTTTTAAGTAAGTTGAAAAAAAATGAATAAGCAAAAAAAGTTAAAAAACTAGTTTTAAAAAGTTAAAAAGTTTTAAAAAGTTAAAAAAATACATTGAAATATACAAAATGCCCAGGAAAAATGTAATCCGTATGTAAAAAATGTCCAA